CCTATCATGGTACTGATCACATGTTGTAGGGAATTCATTCAAATGATAAAAATTACATTAAGTGAGTCAGAAGTGTTGTGGAAGGACAACAGAAAATGGATTTGATTCATGTGTTTATCCCAGAATTTTAATATTTGGGACAAAATAATAAATAATAAAAAAGGATAAATCGTAACTAAGAATAACAAATACACATGTCTTTTAAAATGTTTCCATAAAATCTGTTGTTTTGGCTGTGAGGCTCAAAGAACAAGTCTGCAAAGCCCCCAGAGAGACATATTCAATACCAAAAAGAACCATAAAGATAAAGTCCTCACCTGCTGTTGCATGAAGGTAAACCACCACAGCTTGTGTAAGCAGGGCAGAGGAGATACATTGGTGTCAAGCACACATGTAAAAATGCTCATCTGAGTGCAAGAACAATGCTGAGTTCTCACATCTTGAATGTAACTTACAGACTTAACCAGCTGCTTCCAACATGTTTGTGTTTGTTGAAGCTGTTTGTCCACCTTTACTGACAGATAAGCATGAAAACTGTGTTTGCACATACTGTTAGCATCAAGAGAGGTGTGTCCCCAGTCCTGGTTCACAAAGAGGGACACTCCAAAGCAACCACTAATGCCTCACTAAAGTCTCACTCCGATCATTCTTTTTACTGCTTAAAGTGTTCTCACTGGTCTTTAAATTGTGATTATGAAGTTTTGAGCCAAAAATCGCGTTACCTGTGTCATTTTCAAGGGTTTTCTTCTGCAGAGCTTCAGTAGCTCATTAACAATTCCCCTCTGAGTCATGGGCGGAGACAGCGCCGCTCTGCACATTCCTCTTCATGCTAGCTAGTAGCCTAACATTTCCAGTGTAGAAGAAGTGGCAGGTAACATAGGAGCTTTTCAGCTCTTGGACAAAAATGTCTTCAGGGGCATGATGAAAGTTAATATCATAATTTACTTTCTTATGAACACTGCAGTCCGCTAATGCACACGCTTGTGCTGCGATTCCCCGAGACTGACCTGCGTAGCGGGGCTCCAGGGGTGGAGCTTGGATTTACTATGAAAGAAATCTCACTGAATCTCAACCTTTCTTTTTGGTCTGCTAGAGATTTACAGCGGTTTTAATGCTGCTACTTTAGCAAAAATATTCATTTCTGTTTTCTTTCTGGCAAACATTTTGGCAGAAATTGTGTTTTTTTTGCTAGCATGTTAAATTAGAGGATGTTTTGATATTGGATTCTGTCCTGCAATCCAGGCAATTGTAGCAGGGCTGGTGAGATAACAGCATCAGTGTTAAAAGTTGAGACATTTACCTCATTTCTTTTAATCGTCAATAGCCAGTTCTTGCAGACGTCCTGTTCTCCATGTCTTATTTTACTTCTACCTGAAATGTTCAGGGTTTTTTTTGCATTATAAAAAGTAAGTAGGTTAAAGTTTGACGATGACTTTACTGAGAACTGAAATGCATTGTTTCATGTTTATTGGCCAAATAAGAACCCACTGCTTTTGAAGTCTTATTGATGGTGGAAACAGGAATTTCTTTAAAGCCAAATATACAAATAACTTTGAAATCAATAAAAACGTCTAGAAATCAATATTTACTTCCCTGTAGACCCTGACATGAAGCAAATTCACCCCAGAATATAGTTCAGATTTTTGTAAACAGCATGCAGACACTCTGTATCCCCACAACTTGAGGGTTTTCTGTGGAGATGTTAGTGTGAAGAGGCGGCGTCTGTACAAGACTGCATACCAGGAGTCAGCTTTCTTCCTGTAAAGCTGCTAACTGGATAATTACACTCCAATTAGCATCTGATAGCACAGAGAGGAGAGTTCATTCCTGTGTATCTGAGGAAGGAGGCACAGAACCACATGGTACTCGTCAAATCACAGCAAAAAGGCTAATGTGTATGAGGTGAGGGCACCACGTATTACGCCCTGCAGTGAGAAACAAGGCAGCTTTCTAAACAAATAGTGCCAAGGTTACTGCTGCACTGTGGTGCATCACTGCCAAAACCATAATCTCACATTGTTTATTTTCCAAAGTTTCTCTCTGTGTCTTCACACTCTTCTGCCTGTGTCCTCATCTTCTCGTCCCACACGCCACAGAGGAGCGCTGCTTTACACAACAGCTGGAGTGAGCCCATCAGAAACAACTTCAAGAGACTTGGTGCCCCTCCCTTTTCCAGGTCAAGTTTTTGTGACTTGTGAGGCTTTCCTACCAAAATATACAGTGACTGAAAAAGCAGGTGCTGATATAAAGAAGTAAGTGACTCTACTATTCCCTCTTACGTTGTTCTGATGCTGATCCCTGTGGAGATTGCTTTAGATACTGCCTTAATGCAGAAAGTATCAGCTTATGCATAAATAACAATACCGTCACTCATAACTACCCAAAAAAAGAATTAACCCATTTACTGAAATGTATTTCTTCTTCTCTGCTAACACGGTGAAAAATGTTTGGTTATCAGAGCAGAGGAAAAAAGGTTTATTGCTTCAGTCGGGCTGAAACTACCCTTTTAAAAAACATGTTCATGCAGACTGAAACCACACTTCATCTAACTTCTCATAGCTGGACTAACGTTCCTCGAAAATGTAATAGGGGATCGATTATTTCCTCCATGTACACTCTACGGTTCAATCGAACTGAAAGAGGCATCAGTATTCTGCACATGCTCCAGTGTTCACATACCAGGCTTTGAGCCGGAAGTTGAAGAGCTCAAATTGGTTGCTAAGTAGCCAGGAAGTAAACAAACAAACAAACAAAAAAAAGGTGAAACTTTCCTGACATTAGGGCTGTGCGATATGGGAAAGTTTATCTCAACATATTTTTTTCACATCAGTTGATATCGATATATATCATGATATAAAAGATGACATTTAACAGTGCTTATTGGTAGTGTGTCTTTTGCAACACAATAAGCTACTGCATCTGTGAGGTCTTTGTGTCTCTTTGACGTTTTGTCGTAAGGCCTTGCGCTAGAGATTTGACGTATGCCCCGACTTTGCAAGAACATGTACTCGACGTAATTTGCAGTGCACATTACTCTGCTTCATGTCCGACCTCAAAAAACCAAAATACCTCCACGCCACCAACGTTTTCGTGTCAGTGTTGTCAACAGTGTTGTCGGCTAAAGCGCTATGGTTGCTTGTAGCTGCAGCGTGCTACTATGCAGTTGTTTGCTACTTGGTTCTAATTCAGCACATGATTGGTTCAGCACAAAGTGGACCCGGAGCAACTTCCCTATTCATTGGCTATTCATATAGTCCACCAAAACATGGCAGAAGGACAACTACTGAAAAGCATATTGACCATGTTTTATATCGATATTGAGGAAAATTCATTTTCAATATATATCGTTCTCATTTTATCGCCCAGCCCTACCTGACATGCAAACAAATGGCACAGAGCTGTAAAAGTGGCGGTGTCGTCGCAGTTCGCTACGAATGATGTTAATTTTTTAGTTTCACTCTGTAGTTTGATGCTATCACAGCGATGTGATGCCATGATTGACAGTAGTGCTGACCAGTGCGGGCTCCTGCAGTGTTCTTTACCAGATCAGCAGAAAAGAGGAGAAAGGTGAAAGGAAACAAACACAAGTCGTTGAACTGTCCATAACTGTAAATGTCCACATCTAAACAACATTCAAATATTTTCTGCTGTGGACCACATGATCTTTGTTGCTCTGTAAGTAAGTTAAATGTGCGTTCTGGCAAGCGTGGATAGTTCATACCTCAATTCCTGTGGCTTCATGTCTTGGCTCCAAAATGCATCTCTTTCTTTAGTGCCCATTGTGTCAGCATTTTGGCTGAGGGGAGATGGAGACACTTAGTCCATATTTATGCACTCGTTAAGTTGATGGCAAGCAATTGTGATGTTTGCTTTTTGCTAATTTCTTACAGGAGTGAAATTCCCCATCAGGGTCTTTATACTCCTTTGAAACAAGTTGATTTGGTTAGAAAGACCATTATAAAATCATTCAAACAAGACAAACAATAACAATAAAAAAGCTACTTCTTGTCACAAACTGGTGTCCTTTCAATGCTCTAAAGCAGACACAAAAGAGAGCTGTGCAAAACCAACCTATTCCCTATAGACTGTTTTTGTTCTTTTATTGATTAAAAGTATATCACATGTATGAAAGGTAATTGGTGCAGCAAATGGTGCATTAGCTGCGTTTACATGGGCACAAATATTCGGAATAAAGGCCCGATTGGAATAAAAATGGGTCATGTAAAAATGTCGATTGGAAGATTCTGATCCAATTCGGCTCAATCGGAAATAAATTGTATTCCGATCAAGAGGGGTAGTTTATGCCGATCGTTATTCCGAAACACATCCATGTAAACACTTATTTCGATCGTGACTCTCTTACCTGACTCGATCTTCACTCTTTAGCCTTTGGCTTATTTATTGAGACCAGTACAGGAGGTTTCATTATTAACACTCTGGCACATCCGCAGGAGCCGTGTCTGCTCCTACTACAACATAACAAGGCGTACATACAGCGTAATGATGTCATATCTGCACGCACAGAGCAACCTTTGACAGAACAGTAAAATAAGTACGCAAGGGCGCCATCTAGTGACAACATTTAACTGGGGGGAAAACTCCTGAATTGGATGGAGTGAGCCACTATCGCATTTGTTGGTTTGTTGACAGCACAGGCGTCAATACAACTCTTCTTCTGTGGTTGTTTTAGCGAAATCAGACAACTCTGCATATGTCCAAATGTTTCCAATCTGAATAAAGCTTGGTGCATGAATACGACGTCATGATCAGATTATTTGATTTTGAGCCCATATAAACAGTGGATTCAGATTATCCGATCGGATCAAGAAATTTTTCACATGTAAAATGTTGGCTAACGTTGGCCAATATACACACTCAGAACAGACACCAGTATCTGAAAGTATCAAATTTTCTGTACAATTATAGCCGAATGTCTCCTTAGGTATTTCATTCATCTGTCTGATGTTCTTAAAGGATTTTAATAAAACTCTGGTTTTACAGAAGGACAGCATCACTCTGTGTGTATCTATGCTGCTCCTATCCCCAGCGCCTTTCTCATGACAGATGTTCCAGGATCAGATTGAGACAGATGAATCAATGGATTCACACCATCAGCCCTCAAACACCCATGTCTTATGACTTCACTCCTCCCTGATTCCATTTCCATCGACTAAATGTGGTCTACATTTGAATGTGGGGTCATGGTTATTAATTACTCCTCAGAGTTCAGCTGAAAGCCCAGTGGGATAAAAAAGAGGAGGGGTGGACTCAGGGGGAGCGACGGCAGAGCACGCAGACAAGAACAAAGGCCTGCCATGAGGGTTCAAGCCTCCCACTGCTAGAGACTGGAACACTGTACGCTCTGAAGACAGAGGTTAGGACCACCTAGGCAGATTTCCCTCGGGGGCTATTATCACCCAGGAGATAAAATGATTTTCAGACACAGGAGCTTCCACTCACACTCACACATACACTCACAAACACATGGAGGTATAAAGTATTTTATCAAGGATAAAACGCTTATAAGAGGGTTTCTATTTCTGTCGTTGACATGACTGTCATATATCCAAGAACAATAATCCTGATTCATCTTTTTTCAGAGAACAAGTTAAGACAAATTTATTTATAAACTTTATCTGAAAAATATTATGACATGGGTTTTAAGAGTCAATAGGACCTGCTCCTAGTTGATGTGTGGGACAGATAGGATAATCTACAGTTAAGTTTTACCAACATGTTTATGATACATGGATTTGCTGTAAATGTCCTAAAACTGTGAGACCTTGTGCTGTTTTAGGTTACCTGTCTGTGTTTCCTTAAAAAGAAAGGAGAGAATAACAGCCGATCAGCCAACCACTGCTTACGCTTGAAAGTACCAATAGGCATCGATAACAATGTCCTGAGGTCCTTCTATTTGTGTTGTCCTAGCTGTGCAGCTCAAGTGCCAGCATATACGCGGTCTTCTTATTTGTAATGTCTCTTTTTACGATGCCTCTCAACTTTTCTCATAACATCAAACAGCCCATAAACTAAAATACGTTGAAAATACTGTACATCTTTACATAGACAGGATTTAACCTATAGCTGAGGTTAAATCTCTCAAATATTCACTTCATTTCTCTTTCCCCCCTCAAATAACAACTCACCAAAAACCCATTTATGTTGGTTATAAAAAAGTTGAGGATATTAAGACCTGACTTTAGTCTTTTTATATAAAGAAATGAGAATATAACAGTTCTGAGTTTATGTGTAGGATGCCACAAATTCTCATTCATAGTTAAAGATCTTCAACTGTTATGAGCACAAGGGCCTACATTTCCAAAATCCATACTGGCTTTTTGATATCTTTTCACTTCACATCATAGTGTTCATTCAAACAATCAATCAACACGCTGTGCACCTCTGAAGTGACAACAGTGATTTACAGTGACTTACATTTTCACAGCCCAGGTCTTAAAGTTCAAAAAGACTGTCGGGGAAAATTTTAAGATGTGGCCTGACGTTTTAAAAGTCATTATTCTACTTAAACTTAAGTGAGTACAGAAACTCAAATGAGGAACTGTAAAGACTGAACCAATCATTTTCCATTAGACAAAATATTAACTCTGGTTTTCCCAAACTGATTGTAAAAAAATTCAGCGTTAAACTCTTTGCTTCTCCTCTGTCCCATCTGTTACCAGCTCTCAATAAAATCATTAAAGTGTAGCCTTTAGCACCCTAAAGGCCTGTGTCACACAGCTCATCTGCTGGGGCTGCATGACTTAGAAATGTGTCAGTGTAGCTGTCAGATTGTTTACTCGTGCTTGAACCTGTCTCAAAGTAAAAACTAGGGGGTGTTTTTTGCCTCTGTCACATGTCAGTTTAGGTGACATGTCAAGCGGAGCAGCACAGAATTAACAGATTATCTGATCAGTCCATTAGTGAGTCCAAAAGGAGAGGGTCTGGTTTTTATGCAAAAATATCAACAATTATTGGTGTTTGATTCAGCTTCTATGAATTTATGATAGAAAGGGTGGTTGGTTATTAATCAGGACTCTCTGCAAATTGATCAGACGTCAATTATGATATCTTTTTCAGCTTTGGTTATGAGAGCTCCATTTCAGACTCAGGAGTAGTCAAGAAAAGTCAGCAGCTTTTCTAAATGTTAAGTTGTTGTTTGCAGCACTTTTAATTTATTTCAAGTCAGTTAAGATCCATTGAAAAGTGAAAATCCTGGACTTGTCAAAATGCATCTGTTTAAGGGCATCTGCGGTCACTATTAAAAAGATTCTGGGAAAACTCTTTGAAACCTGAAAGTTTTTTTTCAACCAGATTTCAGCAGGAAATCTGTAACCATCACAAGATTCATCGCAATTTCACACACACTTCTACAGTGATCAGTCACAGACAGAACAATGAAAACCCTAAAGGAGTTGAACCTTCAACAAACTTCACCTCAATCAGCCACCAAGGAATTCAAATGTGTGGTTGATCAACTGAGCTGGCTTCAGATTTCAGACAGCGGGAGACCACTATTTAGGGAAAAAAGCGTCTATGGTCATAGTTATCATTCCTTTTCCCCTTTAAGTTAAAAAAAAAAGATAATTGTCATGAATTAAAATGTGTTTCACACACACGTCGATGTCCAAACTGTATTTCAGTCTGTTGAAAACCGGTTTTAATCAGGTTTTCACCTTAACTGGATTTTAACACAAGTTTTCTAGTTATTGCTCCCCAGAGATGGGAAAGGCGAAGATAATTTGGCATAGTCATTTAAAATCCACTTCAACTCAAATAATAACAAACTTTAGGTGTTAAGTTATGAAAAATCTTCTTAATTGTGTATATTGTGTAAAAGATGTCTCAAACAGAGACGGATCAGTGACTTTAAAAACCATGTATGAGAACATAAAACTGAACTTTTGTCTCTATTATGTTTGATTGTGTATGAAACTGTAATGTGGAGCTGTGAAGCATTATTTGTTTCAGAATTGTTTAAGCCTATTCCTTTTCTCTTGATTTTACTTAAAATAAAATAATAAAACCACATCTATTGTTGTATTGTATATATACTATCTCACCATCTATGGATTTAAATAATCCAGTTTAATTTACACACTGTCAAAAAGACAACTTCTCAGATGAACCACTTTATTGGTGACTTAACAGTTTTAAAAATTGCATTTCTTTTGTTGACGGTAAATGAATGAATGAATGATTTTATTTCGGTATAATATGACTGAAAGGGTGTAGGCAGATAAATCTCAGATATTAAGATTTCCAACAAACCGGGAACACAAAATTAGATTTCCGGCCTAAAGTTGAAGAATTTTTGGGAAAACAGCCCTGAATAAAATCCTGAAGTCCCTTCGGGCATCCTTTAATAATTTGATCCCTAAATAAGTTGTTCAGTCATGAAAGTGTAGCCTATCTCTTTTTGTTTTCTTCTACTTTACTTTAAAACGGTGGGGTCAAAAGCAACATGACACCGAGTTTTTCTCATATATATATTTTTCAAGGTGTTTGTGGGCTCCTGCTACTTATGTGTCAGATGATCAAACGTACATTAACCTCAGTGTGGTGTTGTTGTAAAAGTAACTTTTCTCTTCACTCCACTCCTCAGGCTCCTGGAGAAATGCTGATGCAGGGAAAAAGAGAATCCCGGTCAGTGATTGGACTCATTATTCTCATCTAAACTCTGAGTTTATGCGCTTCAACATGAATGAACGTGCAGGGAGAAAGGGAAGGAGGGAGAGCGGAGGAGAGGGAGGGAAGGAAGGAGGGGGACCCGTGAAACAAACATGCCGTGCGTGCGCGTGTTGTGGGAGCTGTAGGCATGGGTGGCCAGCAGGCGGGATTTATTGTGGTGATGAATCCCGGAGGTTTCAGTAATTATGGCTGTCTCTGGACGAGGGGGGGAACAGGGGGACCCGGCGGAGGCATTTTATCTTAATCACAGCTCAACTCCATTCAAATTAATATGACAAGTTTCCCCATCCTTATTAAAAGCTGCATCTTAACTGACAGCCCCCCTCCTCCTTTTCCTCCTTTAACGCATCGTCATGAAAGAAATATCCAAATTTATTTTAGTAAAAAGTACTTTAAAAAAAAAATAAAACAGGCTTCTACAACACACGCATATTTCGCGTGGATAATTTCCCCCCCGTGGGGCGCCCTGAGCCATCCATCCCTTCCTCCCACCTCCCGAGTGTTTCTATAGTAATTTCCAGCCAATGATCAGTAGGTGTCCACATCCCTGCTTCCTCACCTCAGCACCAATCAGCCACACACAGCGACAGGAGACACGGACCGAGCAGAGAGCAGGCAGACACACACAATACAGCCCCCCGGATCACGAGGAGCAGAGGAAAAACCTCACCCCCTCTGCCATTTCTCCCCTCCTCTCCTTTTTCGGCACCTCTTTCCTTTTTTTACGCACTTTCCCACCTTTTTTTCTACCGTCACCAGAAAGTCGATACAATGCTTCTTTTGTTTTGAGCGCTCTGACAAACACTCATATACACACACATACACATATACACACACACATAAACACACACATTCACACACGCGCGCGCGCCTTGCTCTCCTCCTCCGACAGCCTGGCGTTTGTGCGTCTTCTCGCATCTTTGCGTTATTTCGCGGTGATGTTTCGTTACGCGGACGCAGGCTGGTAGCATCTTGGGAGCTCTTCTCAACAGGAACCTGGTAGGTGATGTTCACTCTCTCTCTCTCTCCTTCCACTGTGTGTGTGTGTGTGTGCGTGTGTGTCCATATTCCCCCCGTCCACTTGCATGCGTTTTAACCCCCGTATTCCCGTCCTGATTCGTGTACATGTGGCTGCCAAGTGATCCCAGCAGCGCCAGATTAATTTTATAGGATTGTGTTTGCACTATTGCACCGCTCGCTCCTCTTGGGATAATCTCTGCATGACCTTTGATCTCAATGTCCAGCACACAGCAGAGTGAGTGTCATTAAAGGCATCGTGGTGCAGCAGCTGAGGCACAATGGTTCGTCATCAGACGTGCAGGCTCTTTTACTTTTCTCTCTCCCTTCTCTCTTTTTTTTTTTTACCCTCTCTCCTTCCTTCCTTCCTTCCTTCCTTTCTTCTCTCCTCTGCCTGTGTCTCTCTCCAGCTCCAAGTATTGAACATTTCTGTCTCTCTAAACTTTGTTTACAGGCTGAGAAATCAATGTCCGTGACTTGATTGCCTTTGGGCTGCGTATTTCGCTCCAGGGGTGAATTGATTAAGTAATAATGACCCCGAGGAGGGCTGATCATTAAGCCAAGAAGGTTTTGTTTACTGCCGGTCTGCGGGGTGTTGTGGATGCTACATCGACATTGAACCTGCAGATCTGGATTGGAGGCTGGTTAGGACGACTCTTGGTTTCACATTTGTGCGTTTAAAACTTGAAATAATTTGAAGATTGTGACAGAAATTACATCAGCTTTACGAGTGCATGCTCGATTTGGACTTTGCTCAAAAAAGTGCTGGAGAAACAGAGGATATTGATCCCTTATTGTCTGAAAATTTTTGTTATTTCCAGGTGTAAATGTTTACCTGCTCTGGCAGGCAGTTTAGTATTAAGATGACTTTAATAACGCCACCCAGTGTGATCTCCTCACTTCCATGTGTGCATATTCATATTCATTTTTTCCCTGAGACAGCTGCTGGGTTGCACCATGGAAGTGATTTGAAATGCTTTAGTGTTCCAGCAATGGATCAGCTCTGGCAATTAAGAGAGAAAGCCCAGAAAAAGGTAATGGAAGTAGGGGGAGATGTGTCTAATGGGCTTTTATCTGTGGAAACCAAATCCAGACAGACTGCTGGAGAAAGAGAGAGGGAGGAAATGGAACACCCCCCACCACACCAACACACACACACATACACCTATACACACACACACACACACACACACACACACACATACACATCCCCTCCTGAGGCAGATGACACCATCGTTGGTCTGCTCCATGATCTCGATGTAAATCCACCGGTGGCTATCTGCGCTGTTATTGAGTAAATGTAATAGAGCTGGCCCTGAATGAACACCAGGTGCTCCAAAGAGGCCAGACAGAGTCATGTTTACATGTATGGACCACCTTCAGTATTTTGATAAGATGGGGAAAAAAAAGAAGAAAATATTTAACTATGTTCCTCCTGGCACCCAAAGCAGATTATTTCTAAGAGCTTATATCGCAGGCCTGAGGTAAAATATAAACGTCTGTGTTTGTAGCTCCTGCTGCCATAATCTGAATTCTGTTGAGGCTCTCTTCCAACTTTTTTGAAATAGTGATATTTTGAGTTGAATATTAGATTTTTCCTGTCCTGATGAAACGGCCCCTCATCTATTAAAATGTATTTATTCATTCTGTGAAGTCTCTGATTGGACTTCCTTCCAAATATGTAACAATACTTTGACAAGACATCTAAACAATGTTGAAAAGAGTGGTATTTTTTGAAGCATGCTAATTCCTCTCCCCATTAAAATAATGACATGTTGGTCTGTCACAGCCATCATGTTGTTGTCATGAGAGGAAGATCAGCCCTGACTGTTTGTGATAGTTCCAGTGTAAAACTCAGAGAGTAAACAACGTGCCAGAAGAGCCTTCAAATGTTCAGCAGGAAAGTTGAAATCTGATTGAAATACCAACATTTACCTCTTTTAATGTGTAACTATTGTTTGTCTTTGTTTTTGTTTTTGTTTTTTTTGCTCTCAGCTCTGGAGAGGATAAACCAGGATGGTAACACACTGTTGGTAACCAGACTTCAGATCCTCAAAGGCCGCTGTAACCTCACGCTCTTCTCCCGAACATCAGCCACCGCTCCTCCGCCATGTCTAACATAAACAATGCACTTTGCATCGAGAACGGACAGAACGCAGATGTTTCGCTCTTACAAAAGGATAATCTTCAGGATGGTGGATTAAGCCAGCTTTTGGATTATAACGCGGAAATGGAAAGGTACAGATCTTTTGCAAACTTTTATAAAACCAATGGGGCATTTCCACAGACTGCTAAGATTGCCCGCATCACAACGCCCATTTTTCCCAGTGCTAGAATTGGCATGTCCCCGTGGAACTGCGATAATGCCATGCTCTGGGGAAGGAAATCAGCGGCAATAAACCCTAATAGGACCAGCATGCATAGAAATGACTCCCAGAGGCCGGGGAAGCCTGGCGTGCCGCCAGAGACGCTGCAAATGGCAAATAATAATTTCCTCTCTACCTTATCCCCCGAACACTGCAGACCTTTAGCAGGAGAATGCATGAACAAGCTGAAATGCGGCGCTGCTGAAGCAGAGATAATGAATCTCCCAGAACGCGTTGGAACTTTTTCCGCTATCCCGGCTTTAGGGGGCATCTCATTACCTCCCGGGGTCATCGTCATGACAGCCCTTCACTCCCCCGCAGCCTCAGCAGCCGTTACAGACAGTGCGTTTCAAATTGCCAATCTGGCAGACTGCCCACAGAATAATTCCTCGGTATCCAGTGGAAACCCAGCGAAGAAGAAAAGGAAAAGGTGTGGGGTCTGTGCACCCTGCAGGCGGCTAATCAACTGTGGTGTCTGCAGCAGTTGTCGGAACCGCAAAACGGGCCACCAGATCTGCAAATTTAGGAAATGCGAGGAGCTGAAGAAGAAGCCGGGCTCATCGCTGGAGGTGAGAACCGGGGCTCTGCTTCCCCTTCTTTTGTTATTATCCCCTCGCACTCCAAAGCATTAACCTTTTCATCCAGTCACGTTCTAAGCCCTTGAAAATTGTTTCCATGCCCACCCATGCCTGAACATCCCCCCGGCTTCTCAAATCTGCCTACCCGCCTAGCCTAATTGGCAGTAATTAGGGGTGTTTGTGTGGAGCGCAAGCTGAGCTTGGCTCAGACACCCCTAATTGCTGCCAGTCAGGCTGGGGCTGGAACGCATCCGAACAACCCCGAGCTTGGCTCAGCTCCAAGCAGGGCTGGGAAATGGTTTTCAGCAGAGAGCCATCCCTCTCTGCACCCGGTCATTTTAACCAATTATGGAAACCGTCTCTAGATGGGGAGAATCAATATCCCACAAAGCCTCAGCCTCCGACCACCAAGAGATGCTGAGAGTGATGGCAGGGCTGCTGATGGTGTTTCTCAAAACAGCCCCCAAGTTTTTTATGTGGGGAGGTGGGGGCTGATCCTATCCCACTGATCCTGTATGAATTGATTTTTGCATATACACGAGGGCTGAGATGAAATCATTTTATATTACATTTGTGTCATTATGGCCAATTATGGATCAATCTGGAGGGGGCTGTGTTGAGAGGGTGCAGAGGCAGAAAAAGTGTCACTTAGGAGAGAGAAAAACATCTTAAGCAGTGGCTTAATTGACAAGTAGCAAGAGGCTTTATTAGGACACAATCAGAGGCTGTGTTGTTTTGTAAAGGTTCATTTTAATTGATTTACTTTGTAGCTGCTGTTTGCTTGTGAAGGGCAGAGGCAGAATATGAATGTTAAGTTGCAGATATGGTTTTTCTCGTTACTAAGAGTTTGAACTTGCTGTCTGACTTGTACTCAAGCCTCTGCGGATGAGTCACCAACACAGACAACCTGAGGCCAGATGATTTGCTCATTAATTAAGTAATTACACACAGAGGAAAAGAGGTTAATTATCAAATATTACCTAATATGCTCATGGAAAAAACACGTGTGAGGTTTCTTTTGTCCAACATGGATTTCTGACATCCCTTTGTCTGATTTTTGTTTGACTCCAGGAGAGGATTTTTGTAAACGCTCAATGTGCTGATAGAGCTTAGATTTGTTTTCTTTGTATTTCATGATGTAAATATCACATTTGATGGTTACTGTTTCTCCTGAGTAATTTGGATACTGAGGAGGAATCAGTGTACAATGAGTATGCACCTTAATGAAAATGTTAAGATTATTTCTGACCCTAGTGTTGACCAGCTAACGTAACACAGATTATCTCTCCACAGCTGTTATAATAAGGTGTCATGCTCCCAATAAGCCAGTTCAACATGGAGGTTTCCTGTTAACTTAATATTTAATAGCCAGAAATATGTGATACGATAAGGTTTGATGCAATATGTTTCAATGCAGTACGATATGATTTAGTATGGTGCGATCGATACAATACATTATAAAGTAATCGATACGATACGGTACGATACGATACGATATGTTACAGTATGGTACGATAGGATAGAACGTTATATTATGATGCGATCTAGATGATACGGTTTGAAACAGCAGGAAACAATACTATAATACACGATCCAATAAGATATGACATGATAGGATATGATCGATACCATATGGTATGATATAATGCAGTATTGTCCAAGATAATACAATGTATGATATTCCATACTAATAAGAATTCACTGAGATGAAACGATAGATTGTTTTAGTCTGTAAAATAAATGTTAACTAGGTATAAAAAATACACTTCTTTTTAAAAAGGGACATATTTAAAATCAAATATATATTTCAGTGTTTATCAGACACCAACAAGTGAAATTTCTGTCATGGGAGCACCGGTTTAAGTCTAGTGAGTCATGCTAGTTTTTAGCATGCAGGCATGAATCACCCACATGATGTCAATGAAATGGGCAGTAGGTGTCATGTGGCGCCATGGCCTATATGGGCAGACCTAAGTGTATCCTCCACCTTTCCTCCTATCTTAGTGTAAAAATCTGGATTAGCAGTTTCTTTCTTTTTGTGTTATTAAAATTGGCTGGTGCATGTTTTGACTTCTTGTCACTGCTGTCTTCTTCTGAAACATCCCTATTGGCTGATTGGCTGCTGTTCACAGTTCCCTCATTCATGTCATTAGTGCCAATGTGAGGAGTTATGACGTAGTGTTGTGGTAAATCAAACTAGCTGTGAAATTTACCAAGAGGGCTGTATCATTAACATACACATATTTGGCTTTAGCATATCAATAATAGTACTACACACAAACACACACATTGATATTTTGTCCCACCTGTGATATACAGTGTTTCCCTTAAAACAAGTCACTTAAATTGTAAGATCAGAAAGTAAATATTCAATGTAAACCAACTTTTGCGACATGTCTGGGCCAAAGTATGAAAAAATTCAACTTTCATAGAAACTCCCTGAGGTTGAAATTTTGCCTCAATTTTAATCGCTTGACATCCAGTTGTGACAAATTTCCACAGTAATCCAGATTATTTACATTTGATTTAGCAAGAAAATCTTTTATGCGTTAACATTTTATACTATGCCTTTTTTTTTTTTTTTACAGAATGTAAATACTGAGAATTGAACCTTGCTGCAGCAGCCTGATAGAAAGTTCCTATTGTGCAGAAAGTTTGGGAGAACCAGGGTTTGAAATGAAGGGGTCACTGGTGGGATATAAGTTGTAGGTTGGACATGTAAACAGCAGAGGTGACAATCGGAACCTCATTTAATACTCACTGAATATAACATGTACCAACAGGTGTCCCAAACAGGTGTCCAGGAAGCTAGCCTCACATTCATAATGCATGGGTACACTCACTTTTGGAAAACATCCATTTGCAAAGACAGAATTACCCAGGGTGTGAAAAACCCCCCAAAACAAATCCACACTTGCTTTTAAAAAGCTCCTCCACTGAGTTCAGTAATTCAAATGACGGAGCGCTGCTGCTGTAATTGTTATTTTTGACTCTGCATCTGTAATTACAGGTGCACCTTCTGCTGCGGAAATGGGTTTGCAGTTTAAAGGCATCTTAGAGGTGTCAAGTGTTGCTTATGCTTCCACAAACTTTTTATGTGAGCTTTAACAGCGAGTTCTTCCTCTGTGGTGATAATGGTCGCTCTCGGTTCAGAGGGGGATTTGATTGAGAAGCGGGATGAATCAGGTCCTCAAGTCAGTTTAGGGGGAGAACTTTTGACTCTTTCTCTCACACACACTCGCACCTCACTCTTACCAAACACCGACAAACAAACAGGCATGATCCGTGTGTGCACCTTTTGCCTCGGAAGAAGACGATAAGCTACTGGCAGCCAGTTAGATTTGGCTGTCAGTGTTTTCCACATGGGAATCACCCTGAACTAATTATATCTTAAGCAGCAGTGGAAAATGCAAATCAGAATTTTACTCACACCCCTGAAATCGGAGAGCCAATTTAATCTAATACCCCCTTTAATTTAGCGCGCTAATGCAAGGCCCTAGAGAATTGCCCTGTGTCACTGCTGTGCTGTTCTGCAGCAGATCCTGCTCTCCCTCTCCTTTCCTCTCTCCCTCTCTCTCTCTCCTGCTCTGTGTCTGTGCTGCTCTCAGGCTCCAGGATGGATTAGTCTGGCAAAGGAATCTCATCTAACCTAACATTTCCCGAGCAGTTACCTTTGCGTAGCTTGAGCTCCTATAGCTCAAAGGTCCTTCATTAACTTTCAAATGCAATATGTGGGCAAGCTGCGTCTTCACCTCTGTTTGCTTTACCTGTTTGCCTCAACTTCACTTTTTTTCCCACAGAGACTTAATGAAAGGGTCTTACTCTTCCTTAAATCTGCTGATATTTCAGTTGTATTAATCAACTTGTGTTGCTCAGTGTGAACATTGTGGCACTAAAATCAACCTCAAATGATTGTTCTGTCTGTTTTCAGTGTGTGGGCCCTTTAAATGTTATGGCCTAAGCTGGAACATTATGGAGCAATTCAACAGATACTGGTTATAACTCTAAGTGTGTTCTATTAATTTCATTTAAACTTTTATTTAACCAGGAGAGAAAAAAAAAATTGGTGAGATTAAAAATCTCTTTTTCAAGAGTGTCCTGGTAAGATAGGCAGCAGCGCAGTTTACCAAGTTTTTGACAGAAAATGAGCAGCCAAACAAACATAAAACAAAGTAAAAGTCTAATGCACATTAAAATACATGGTATTGATTCTAGGTTTCTGTACTAATCTGACTGAGAGTCAGAAGAAACCAGAACTAAAATATACAAAGAACAGTAAAGCTGTGTTTTAGTCATTCTGGTATGACCAACCAACACACTCATACAGCAAACAGTGATGAGTATGGGCTTAATACAAATGGTGATGAATTGAAGAGTCTTGATATAATATGCAGTGTCTACAGCATGTAAACTCAAAGAGGAGACCAGCATATATAAGACATCACCGTAGCCCAGCCTGGACATTAAGTGACGCCTACCTTTCTGCTGTTAAAGAGGCCAGACTGAATTCTGACATCACCCTGATTTCAGTTTTAGTCTTCTCACCAGCTGATGTAAAAGACCAATTTTTATCAGTTAAAATACCAAGATATTTATAATGAGGTACAAACTCCACCCCTGTAACATGAAAAGGGCAGATTTAATATCTTAGATTTTAAGCAGCATGAAAATTAAGTTTTAAATCATTTAAAAAAAGTTTAAGTGGTTTTGAGGGCGGAGAGAAGGTGTAAGACAGCTGTCACTGGGAAAGACCTGCAGTACATCACAGTGTCGTCAGTGTGAAGTGAAAATGAGACATTACAGTTACTGTTTTTGAATGAAGAATAAACAGCAGAGGCCCCAACACTGACCTGTGAGGCACTCCTTTGTTAATTTGATGGGTTAGTTTTTGCCTAAAGCAGTAAGAGAACTTAAAGACCAAATATCAGAGAGAAGTCAGAAAAAAAAAAAAAAAAAAAAAAACGTTATCTTCGTATTGTTATTGCCCTTAAGATTTGTTCTGGGACATCTGTGAGGCATTTGTAAGTCCAGCTGTCTAGGGTCGACTCCATTCAACTTTGGTTTCCATCTAACTTTGTTCTTGAGACTAAGAGCACAACGCCAATAGCAGAGAGGAATACTGGGCCCTATAAAGATACCACATCTGGCTGCTCTACACCAACCTCAGATAACCCTACACAATTGTTTGACCACAAATCCATAACTTAAATGACCCATTAAAAGATTTCAATAATGACAACCTTTTGTCACCTTTTCTGTATGAGAGATCATTTTTTACAAGAGAGTCAGCATCTGCAGCATCCTTGTTTTATCATTACCACAACATGAGCATTTTCAATAAAGGTAGCATAGGTCTTAATGTATTTAAATGAAGTAAAATGACGAATGTTTTTTTTATTTATTCTGGAATAACTATCATGTTTCAAACCATTTGGTTAAGTCAAATGAGCTCAGGCCAGCTCTTAGCTACCCTCCAAATAGTTGTGCTAACTGCGTGTTAAGATTAAATTCATTCAGTTTTTAGTTTTGGCCTCTAAACACTTTACACTTCAGAATCATGTTTGATTATTCTCTCAGTTTTAGTTTGACTATAAATAATATAACTTAGAGAAAAAAACAAAAACAATAATTTAATTTGAGGCCCATCAAAGGTCCCTTCATCCGAGTCCTGGGTAGTCAGTCTCACTTTTTTCTCTAACTTTGATACCCATGGATGGTACTACAGGGTTGGTAGAGTTGTAAAAACCTTTAAAGGTCTAGATCACTGCAGTTGTGATTAAAAATCAAATGAAATATTGTCTCTTTGTCATTACATGCTATTATTGTATTTAATAAATCCAACAAAACCCATAGCTCTCTGTGGTGAAAGTCTGAAGAATGTGGAAAAATATTTAAGGTCCTCCTCTCTGTGTGCACTTTCAGTCAGACCTATTCACAGATTGAAAAGGGTGGGATTTTTGCTTCCCTTTGGATGTTGCTTGTGACAGATCCTCAATAAGAGCAGTCTTAAAATCTGAGGTAAAGTTAACTAATAAATTTCTCAAGCATTACCCTCTTTTATTAGACCATTTGATCGCAGAGTGGCAATACTTGATAGAGGAACACCCAAGGGGGTGCTATTTAATTTGAAGTATAAAAAAATGTAGAAAATGCATAAAAAGAGGGGAAAAACAAAAATCCTATTGAAGACATTTCTCCTTTCAGCGAACAGATGTCAAAGTCCAACATCCAGACCTGAGCAAAAAAAGCAGCATCCTATAGTGTATATAAGAGGGAGTCCTTTTTCTTTCCCTCCCTCCCGCTGCTCTTTGTGCCGTGCTGATGCGACTACATGAAATGTGTGTGATGAAAAGGTGGCATGGCTGCCTGGAAACCTTTGCTATTGTGATAAAAGACGAGGCCCCAAAATGCTAGAAAGCAGGACCTTGAGGAAAATAACTTGGATTCAGCCCCTTAATGAGAGCACGAGAGCCAAATACGCGACGGCAGCCAGGTCTAATTTGTTTTAGGTGTGCTCAGAATAGATAAGGACGAATCTGTGGCCTTCACCCCCTCCCCCCAACCTTTGCCTCCCTGGAGATAACACTGAGTGCTGCCAGCCAATCTCTGTGGGCAAAGGAGAGGGGGTAAGGAAATAAAAAAAATTGAGAAGAAAAAGCCTGAGGGACAGGCGGCCTTTAGATCTGCAGATCCCTAAGTTACTGGATTTATTCAAGCTTTAAAACTGCAGATTAATTTGGTCGCAGAGGTCTGGAAGGGTGTGAAAAAAAAAAGGAAAAATGAGACCTGAATGCTGCCACACATCTCAACCTAAAGGGCAACCTTAAGCTTCTGTCAAGACAATAGGATTTTGCCATCTGAACCACGATGCAGACCGCTTAATTATACACATCTTCCCTGCAAGCTACCTAAGAGCACAGGCCCCCTTATTCATTGTCATGCCCTTTTTTTTCTCCCTAGACTGGTCGTGCCGTGTGGATTTTCTGTCAGCTCCCATTTGCACAGAGTAGCTGTCCTCCTCAGGCCTTTTGCTGCGTTCAGGAAGGCACAACCGCACGGCACTGTTAAAGAATTCATCGTTTTTGCCACCGCCACCAATTAAGGCCAGAGCGTAATCGGAGGCGTCTGGACGATGGCCTTACATTATGTGGTCTGTCACCTCCTCTAGACCTGTTTGATTTAACATCCCTGGTTCAGCGGTGCAAGACAACTCTTTGTCATTGTCTTTATTATGGCGGGAATAGCGAGAGAGAGACAGTGCGAGGGGGAGACAGGGATGGGGGTAGGAGGCAGCCCGGCGGAGGGCGGTGGACAGCGTGAAAGAGCAGGTGCGGGGGGACGTTAATGTGTGGCACTTTAAATTTTAAACAGATGAGAATTAATAATTGATGCCGACTCTGGCTGAGAAGTTAAAAGGTATCTCGTCATTACTGGGAGCCTGTATGAAAAAGTGTGAGAGAAAAGTCGTCAGCCAATGCATCATGGGATTTCAGTGAGCGCAGACCACCACAACGGGGTCTTTTTGGACCCTGTAAATAGGATTTTGATTGATTTTGATTTCTGCCATATGCATGAGCTTTAATGCAACAGTCGAGCATGTTTATACAGATTTTTAGCACAGTTGTTGCTTTATGCTGTTAAATGTTATGAGGAGAGTGGGAAACTAAGGATTAAGGGATGTAACTGTACCAGCAGAAAAGTCGTTTTCAAAATAGTTTTGATCAGCGATAACTTATTGCAGAGACTTTGTTTTCTCCTGATACAGGCAAATTCAGAATGCCAAGATGTCTACCCATCGAAAGAATAAACAAAGAGCATGTAGGGTTAAGTAAAAGGTCAAATATTTAGCTTCAAAACACCAAAACCAAAAGTTCATGCCACCTTTTGTTTAACAAAATACTTTTGTCCCTTGACCTTGCTTTTATTTTGTTGTGCTACTGTTAATATGGATGTGCACATTTAGACAGCCAAATTGCAGTAGAGCTGCCACCTGATATGATTCTTTACTACCTGCCAAACAAGCTCAGGAGACAGACAGAGGCGTAAGAGGAGAGGCGTCTTGTAGCGCAGAGTGAATTGATTAAGAAAATGGAGATAAAGTTTTGTATTGTTTGATTAAACTGGCGTGTGGATGTTAAAGCTCCTGTGGGGAAATTTTGGTTTGAGTCAACTTTGGCACCCCCTGTGGACAAAGCAGTCTTTACCTATCTTGTTCCTTGCATGTATAAGCAGCATCTTTACACAAGAAGAGATCTCATCTAGTTCACTTTTCTATTGTAAAATGTGTCACTTTTAATGTGCCGCTCTGGTTTTGAGCATAAAAAAAAATGATGATTTTTAAATCATTACACCTGTCACCGATGATCTTGTTTAGTTTTGACCAGGCATCTCCAAACTATTCCACAAAGGGCCGGTGTGGCTGCAGGTTTTTCTCCCAACCAACAGCAGCACACCAGACTTGATTCATTTCATCAGCTGATCTCAGTCTTCAGACAGCTGATTGGTCAGACTGCGTGCTCTTGATTGGTTATAAGAAAAAACTGCAGCCACACCGGCCCTTTGTGAGAAATAGTTTGGAGATGCCTGGTTTTGACTATCGTAAAAAAATATCAATATGAATTTCATGAAGGTCAAAGAACTACTCAGAGGACCTTTAAGTTGCATGGGGGACTGCAGGCTGTTGCTGCTAGCTCTGCTAATGTTAGCCACACTCCTCCTACCAACTGTGTGTTCTTGAAGCTGTGTTAAATAAACTGTATGAACAGATTCGACTGCTTTTCAAAGGTTTCCGTCTCTAAAAAATTGCCAGTAAGTCAGTTTAGTACAACAAGTCTGCTGCGCATGAGTGCTAATGTGAATCATGAACACACAGTATTGTATTATCAACAGTTAATACATTACCTTGTAGTTTCCAGACTTACAAGTTTATGATAAAGTACAAGACTTTAACTTTATGTTACACAGAGAAACAAAAGAGCATGATTGATATGAAGATGACTGGCACTGACTGCAACCTGTCACCTCCCAGCAGTCATACTGGGAGCTTAAAATAATCCTCAAACTCGAAGGTTGATCAGTGACAGACGAGACCTAAATTAAACCCAAGGTGTAGATGATCTGCTCTCTGTGCGAGGATTTGTATCACAGCTTATCTCCACTTGACTTTCAGTCTCTTTGTCCTGCTCAATCGAACATTTCATACATCATACAGCCTACCGGTACTTTATCAGAGCAGAAAATCAAATATTTTCATCAATTTATACCATCTTTTCCAGGTTGAACCTCTAATTGTCAACATGAGATGTAACACTTGTTTGGTATGGATGTTTGGAAGCTCCTCCTCAGTGCCAGAGATTGTGGCGTTCTCTAGCCCTGACATTGAAAGTTCATTTAACCGAATGTAGTCCTGTGTAGGATTTTGTAGAATAGTTGAGGTTTTAGTCTGTTGAATATTTCATTTCAAGTGTTTCTATCAGACATCAGATCATTCTTTAAGGCAAGCTACAATAACTAAAGGAAACCTGTGAGAGATTATTGGTATTAAAATAATAGTCTACCTTTTTTTGATTTTGAAGATTTTAGTGACCCAACCCTGAGGAAGTACAAAGATGTTACAAAATTCTTATAAATTTCTCATCTCATTGCTGCTCTGTATTATATCTCGTCCTTCACAAAGCTTCTTTCAGTGTTCGCAGAGTCTGGTTTGTAATAGGTTATCCATCAAAACTTCTTGTCTCCTTTTATTCTGTTGACCTTATCAGCGCACAATGATGTGGTTATAAAAACAGGCCTCTAGTTTCCAGTCCTCTTTGTTGCAGCGAGTTCTGTTACAGAATTTGGGCTGTGGAAAGTTTAAGGATCAGCTGCTTCAGAAACATATTCAGATTTTCAAGCTTGGTTGGCAGACAACCAAACTAAGGAACAAACAGTAAATAAATGTTGCGCTGAGAGAAGTATTATGTGGATTTGGCACAAGAGAGACTATAAAAAGTAGGCAAAGTCAAAAGTTTGGTTCAAGCAGCTATACTTCTTGAGCTGGCAGAAACATAATTAAAAAAAATGACAAAAAACAATTTGGTTTCAATGGTCTTTGAATTTGTGGTGTGACTCCTCTCTCCCTGTCTCTTTGGTAACACACTGTACCCTTTAAAAAAGTTCTTCACGAGCTGCAGCTTGTTTTTTGAGCACATATTTAGATTGTCGCTCAGTCAATGAGATGTAAAAAACATCCTAATGGTCCTTTATCGAGTTAACTTGCATCATTCCTTGGTACAATATTGGGCCGCAGAATAAAAATCTAATCTTTGTTAACCTCATTTTAGTTTGCAAAACAGATGAAATGTAATAAAGGGGCAATAGGATTTTTGTCCGAGGACGCACTAACGACTTTATATCTGTATTTTAAAAGGCAGTAAATGACAGATGGCTCTGCGCCATTCATCCACGAAAAAGCGATGTGAAAGTCAATTTGTGAGTGACGAGTGGTGATGGGAGGAATCGGCCAACGTGCTCTAAGCGCCTCAGTTTCTGCAAGTCAAATCTCGCATGCTGCCACCTCCTCTATTGTGGCTCTGCTCTCGTTTTATGAATATTTCATAGTGAGCATCTGACACCATGCCCAGAAAGATATTTCAAGGTTTTTTTTTCCCTGATAGAAACCCCGGGGTTAGAGAGTGTCACAGAGGCGTGAAGTCAGCGTGTGGCCCCCGGGCAGAGGATGGATTTATGATGCAGGGGTTGATGACATCAGGTGGATATTTTCATTCCTGAGCAGAGAGACCCTTTGTCCTCAGCTTGGTGTCACTCCTAAAAAGACCTGTTTTGTCGGCACAATTGTGTTGAGGAGATAAATGATTTCAATCTGCTCGCAGTTCAAGCTGTGTTTTGACAAAGTGTGACTGGTTTCCCATCTGATCAGTGTGTATGTGGAGTGACAAAGCAGGGGGGAGTCTGTTGGATTAGCTCTGTCTTAAAGCAGTCTTTAGCATGTTTCATTGCCCACTGGATGTCCCCTAATGACATCACTGCTGTTTTCGTCTTTGTCAAGTTTCCCCTCCTCAAGTTATTAAGGCTGACTTTAGTAATTCCTCATTTTACAGCCCTCGTATGAATATAACCAGATGACCTTAATCCCTGTTTTGCTCTTCTTTTGGAAGCACAGTTTTAATACGCACCTGGAGAGGTGATCTTGTACTGTTTATATGTTTCAGCTGAATTTAATTAAATGATGAAATAGTTGAAGGTCTTTTGACCATGTGACTTCTTGTTCAGGTCAAACATAGTGGTTTGTTGATAAAGTTAAGCTTTATTTCTTTTTTTATTACAACGGAAAAACATGAACCATGAAAATAATTTTTGACCTGAAACGAAACAAGTCATCAGAAATGTGTGAAACACAAAGGGAACTTTTCTTATGCTTCCTATGGAGGACAAGAACAGCCATGGATTTTTCCTTTTTTTATGCACAAGTATAATCACTTATTATCTCGTTATCTCGATAAAAAACGTTTGAAAAAAAATGTTTTATTATCTCAATATAACAAGGATTGTTTTCCCGTGATAACGAAAATGGCATTTAAGCCGACCGGTAACTTTTTAAAGACACCCTCCAGATTGGGATATTTTTGAAATGCCTCAGCCACCGTTGTCAACTGCAAACCGGGGTTTCCAATGAAAATGCCGTAAATTTGTGCGCAAGCATATTACACTTTCAACATGGGAACATTTAACAGACAAGCCCAAGCATATTACAGAAAAGTAACAATGGCGGACACATTATTAATTTTTTAGTTTTCTGAAGAAAACGATTTTTGTCATGTCAAATGAGATAATTAGTCATTGTTACGAGATTTGTTCACTGACTTAAAGAGCTTCAAACAGGGAGGGGCTGCTGGCTCGAGAACTCCAGGTCGGGCTGTCACAACATCACACTTTCAGCCGACAATTTCTGTGGCCATAAAAATCAGGACACAACCGTTTTGCTACATTCATGAAAAACAATAACAGCATTATTAGCCAAGTTGAGGAAAAGCAAGATCCTACTCGCCACATCCTACTTTGTCAACTTAAATAACAGATGTATTTGACTTACTTGCATGCTATTATCTATTACTGTCTTGTATTCAGGTTGCTTTATTTTCTACAGAGTATACTCTAACTCACAACTACAGCAGCAGAGGGATGTTGGATGGAGAGACACAGTGATCATCTAGAACAAAGTGACACAGAGAGATTAAATGACTGATGATACAAAGTGTGCGGTCTGAGAATGACAACCACCTGAAGATTGTGTAAAAATAAATGTGTTACTAAAACAAGAAAAGGAGGTATGTCTGTCATAGGTAGAATGGCCATCTGTCTTGTTGACTGCTGCTTATATAAACACCAGTAAGAAAAGTCGTTCATTTACGCGCCTGATTAAACTTTCTGTAAATTTAACATGAGAATTACATTTTAAAAAGTATTGAAAACACTGTTATTTAATAGATGTTAAAAACTACAGCCTACCTTGTTCTGTTCAATGTGTTTTCATAATTATTTTCTCTATAAGAAACAGTCTCAGAGTCTCGGAAAAGGGGGTCATCTTACAATCAGGGTTGTCCTATATTCAGGCAAATAGGGTAATTATGTCATCTTGTCCAACCTCGCTCTATTATGGAGAAGCCAGTCTGAGGCATAAAAAGTGGCCAAATTTCTCTAAAATTAACATGAATTTAAAACTCATCTAACCAGCAGACTGTAGAGACAGTCATTTCAGCTTCCCTGAGCTGTCTGCACTTCTCCTCAGCATTTGCACTTATATCCCTGCAATGCAATACGTCTTTCTAAAATGCATTTTGGGATTCACGGATAACTTCTCATCCAGAGTTTTTTATGAGAATTCTTACTCAGGGAAATTGTTCTGAAGCTCAAGCTTCCCTCAGCAGGAAACACAGTAACACCCATGCACACCCGAGTGTCACCAGGTACAGCTACAGTGTGACCTGCTGGCCTCAGAGCAGCCCCACAGAGCAGCTGGAGTTAAGGGCATTTCTCGGGGGCTCATCAGTGTTGCTAATGAGGGCTGGATCAGCCTAGAAAGTTTAAAATCTGTCTGAGTTTGTATTACTCTGAGTCACCAGGATATACACTCAATGCATTGCACTTGACAGGTGCAAACATATTCAAGACGTTTTTGTTTCTCATGAATTTCATGCCAATTTTTATTTGACTCAATTTTCCTTTAAGTGAGAGCAATTAAAGATTCAACTGGGGCTGTGTGCATTCTCTAAGCCTAACCTAAATATGATGTTGATTTACAGTAAATATGCAGAGCTCTGCATATAGACCCTCTGAGTTTAAGGGCTCCCACACAGATGCTGAGAAATCTGCTCAAAACAAGGAGGCCTGCTCCTACTTTGCATTTCAATTTAACATTTCAGAGAACTGGCAGCACGTTGCCTCGCTTAGCCCTCGCTTCGTTACACCCACATGGCTTCTCGCCGTGCTTGCTGACGTCTTCCACTGTTCAAAGGGCTGCAACTTGGCGGAGAAATTGGGGATTTCCATACTCGATCCCTCAGGTGTCTACACACTTAAACGCATGTCCTGCTTATCTTTCCCCTCCTCCTCGCTCGCCGACCCTTCTCCCCTGCCCTTCTTCCGTGCTCAAACTGCTCTGATTTCCCGCCATCGAGCTCAATTGACCTTGCCGCTGCATCTCTTTGTGTTGTCTTTCGCTGAAATCTCTGCAACACCTGAAAGCCTCTCCACTGTCTCTCATAAACTCCTCAAAGAGAGTAGGCTTGTAGCAGCCTGTCATTTACTCAAGTGTAAGGATACTGAGCTTATTGAAATGAAGGCGCTGTTGCACCTACTGTAGCAGACAGGTGATCTCGGCTGCAGACTGCAGCCTCTGACCCAAGGGTGCTGCCTCAGCTTCAACCTCCATCTGTGTGGGCAGGGATTTTCCAAGCATCACAAATGGAAGAGACAAGACTTCTTTAAGTCGCTCACTCTTGAGTCATGATATCACCAGGTGTGTGTTTAAGATTTGAAATGGGGTAAATCAAAAATGACTTAATTAGTTTTATTGTGCAGCGTACCACACAAGAAAATATGTATGTTGGATTTTCATAGTTAATTTTGCTTATGTGAAATATTTTTAAATTTAATTTTAATTAAAGGTTGCTCCAAAGAAAAGATTTTAAATAGTAATTCTTGTAAATATTTAACCCTATAGATGGGTTTCTGTGCAACGTCATCGCAAGTATGCGCGCGCAGCCTTGCATTTCTTATCTGTTTACTAGCGTAGTCAACGGAGAAAGAAAATGACAAGAAGCTATTGTGCTGTAAACTGCACGAGTCGGCAAAACAAACAATCGGCGCACATTACGACCCTGCTCCTGATGTTAGAAACATCTAAAACAACATCACAACCTGGTAAATGGAGTGAAATTCATGGATATTTCAGCAGATTTTTCAATGAAATGACATTTTATCGCAATTGTGTCAGGGAGAACTTCTAAACAATACGGCATCTTTATTGATATCAGTTTACTCCAAAGCAGGCTTTTGCCCCATGGAATATTGATTGTACACAAGAAACCCGTCTATACAGGCTCACGTAATCTAACGCTGTACGGGGTAAATATGATTGCTGTTTTTTTAATTCGTTGATTTCCAGAAAGTGTGACATTGTTGGTTTGTGTGGCTGAATGGAGGTCAGGGTAAATGGTTGTGCATTAATATGACATGATCTCCACATATGAGACTGGGGTTTGTGTGCTGAGTCTCCAGTGTTTTTGAAATTTAGGCCACTGGGTCAAGGCTGAGGAAGAACTGCAGTTTTGGTAAATATTGAAATCAAGATAATCAAGTCCTGTGAACTTTAAGTTTGTGTTCATTTTGGTGCCCTTTGTAAAAACTCTGCCCTACAACAGTGGTGTCAGGCATTTAAACTAACTTTTCAGAAATAGTCAGTCTTGCTGATGTTGATTTTTGTAGCTTCATAGAGAGATTAGTATTCATTTCTTTATGTTTCAAATACACTGAAAGTCCCATATTAATTGAAGTACATACAAAAGGTAAAAGATTAAATAATAGCCACACTTTTTTGAAAGTCTCTTCATTTACCATCAAAAGCAATCAATAATAACTCGATAACTATGTAGTTATGAGAAAATTTAAGAATATATTTATGTACTACCAACCACGTTAGCTCCTCCTGTTGTGACAATTAAGAGTAGAGAGGAATATTAAAAACAATGAAACTATATTTATGAACTTTTCTACTTTGATGGCAACCCTATCCTCATACAGGACATCATAGTTGCATTTGTTTGTTTAGTCAATGAAAACAGCAGTTTTTTCTGTTTATGTGTGTATGAGTGTGTGATAGACTACAGGAAGAGTAACCAAAGCTTAAGCTGCTGCTAATGGGGGGCCTTATAAAGAAAGACAGATAGTTGTTGACAGTAGTAGTGCACGAGCAAATACTTGAAAATATTTGTTTGTTCACAGCCATGAATAAATTTGTATATTAGTACTTTTACCAAAAATGGGGAGGGTTAGGGTACATAAACTAAAGCTGAAAAACCCAATATGATTTTCCCCCCTTTAGCTTTATTAACTGATGCAATCCTATCACCACATGCCTCAGTCAGTGTCTCAACTGTCAATTATCTCTTTAAAACTTTTCTAAAGCATGAAGTTTTCAAAACATTATGTCCCTAATGCAGGATGTCTGCAATACAATCCAAATCAACAGGTTTCAATAGAGGTTATTAGCTATTAGGACTGGGTGATATATGATTGTGATGAATGATTGTGATAAATTTTAGTTCGATCATGGTTATCAGCTGTGAGCATATTTACTCGATCAAACATAGTGGAAATATGTGTGACAACAGCCAATCAGAGTTGAGCTTTTCCTGCTCACCTCTGTAAGTTGCCGGGGAAATAAACTGGTGAAGTAAACAGAATGACCAAACATGGAGCTAAATGCGGATCTGAGGGCAGCAAAATAGATGTCAGTCATGACTTTGAGTCATCCTCCGAAGATGCCATTGTTGAGAAGAAAAATTACTTAACGTTGGTTGTGTGGCAGTGGTTCGGGTGTCTCCAAAGTGACGGCGAGCAACAAAGCCGATGTGCATGGTATGTCGGTGGTCGGTGCCTCCACAAACTGGCAACACAACAGATCTGTTTAATTATTCAAAGAAATACTTCCTGAGTAATTATGCGGAAAGCATGAAAATTGGAGCGGAGTCTGTTGACGGCACAACTAGCATTAGCAATTTAGCCACGACTAGTGGTGCAGCTACCAGACCAATGCAGCAATCAATCGTATCATCTACGTTTACATCATCTGTGGTTTACATTTTAAGGCGTCTTCTTTAGCTCTGAGGGGGTGAGTTGTTTATTTTGGGTCTTGTTACTGCAAAAACACTCAGGACTGTAAACTAGTTCACTGTATTATTTAGTATTTATCTACATTTGTTGTATTAGTGAGTTAAAAGGGTTTTTATATTTTTCTAAGTTTATCTTATTCAATTTGCTTTTTTATTTACTTTGTATGTTAATAAAATGTTGAACTAATCTCTAGTTTCTTAAGTTTTTTGTACAGATGCTTTAAAACTGGCAGTTAAAGAAAATAAAAAAAATCGTGATAATAATCGAGATCGGACGATATGACAATATATATCATGATCATTTTTTTTGCCAAATCGCCCTGGCCTGTTTGCAATTATCTCTTTTGGCAGTTTTTCACGTCTTGTTTGGATGGTTCTATTGTGAAACGTGTCAATATCCGAGGATTTATTTTGTTAAATTTATATTGATTTCACTTGAGGGATCAAGATTTGCTTTTCTGTCAGTTTTATCAAGCATCTCAGCCTTAAGCCAACCCTAATCAATGACGTCATAAGTCCAGCAGGTGTTTCGCTGCTGGCAGCTGATTGAAAACATCTGCTATGACATCACTGATTGGGGCGTGTCCAGAGGTTCGCAGCAGATCGGCAGCTTTCCATGGAACGACTCCGTGTTTATGTTCCCTATTTCCAAACGTTTGACTGTAGGTGTTTTAGTTTCTATCACCATATAACCGCTTCCTCATAAAGTGACATATTGCTATGCAGCCCCAGATATACTGGCCTCGTTCCATCTCACTGTCCACTCAATAGCTCCCTGACTGTTTGATAGAAAGTGTATTTTCCGAAGCCACTGAGGCTTGGCCTGTCTTGCTGCAGACCCTCTCGTATGGAGGGCTGGTAAAATATACGTCCTACAGGAATACTGTGCTGTAATTACATTCCCCTATTAGCATACGGAGGCTCGGAGTCACACTGCACTCAGCCTCCAGCAGCACTTTGCCATATGGTCTGTCTGTGCTTCTCAGGCGAGATTTGGCAAGACTTCTGCAGAAGGTCAAATATCAAGTCAGAGGAGGGTGCCAGAATTGCATCTATGCTAATTGCTCTCTCTCCTTCCCTCTGCTCTCCCATCCATCTCACCCCCTCCCTCTCTCTTTTCCTCTCTCCTTTCCTCTCCTCTCTCACTGAAGTAAGTAATCTGCTTTAGGATGTTTCTGAGATGGAGATGGATTTGGTTTTCCTCTGCTGCCCCTCAGCCTAATCTCCCCCCTGTGACCGCCCGCCCCTCCCAGGCACAGCTCTTGAGCACACCATCATACACCCCCCTTCATATTCTCCTCCCCCCCTCTGGTTCATACACGCCTAGTCAGCAAAAAACTCCCAAATTCCTCATTACTCACAAACATCCGCAATACACTTAGCCTGATTTGCTCCAAAGGATGCCTGGTGCTAGGCTGGACCTTGAATTAAAAGATTGTAGCTGTAGTTCCGAGCTTGAATTTCATCATGACGATGGGAGACGTGGTTTCTTTGTCTGTAAATTGTTGTGCCGAACATGATCAGTAGGAATGGTGCGGAATATGCATGCCATTTTGTGTAAAAAAAATAATAATAATTTGAAGAATCGGCTTATAGTAATTGACTCGATCGGGTAACATCTCAGATTTAAAGTCCTCAATTTAAAACCAAATAGTCTGAAGATCATTTTTGAAAAACTGCTGTGAAATGACTGCAAATGTAGACCATTTACGGAAAAATCAGTGTCTATCATAGGCCACAAAAAAACTGATGTCCGACTGAATTTTACAGGTATATTACAGACTTGTAAATGTGTAGCTGAGTGATAGTAAACATAGAAATCGTTTACAGTAATATATTTAAACTTGACATAGATTAGATGATGTTCTCTGCTTTAAGTAAGATGAAATGTTTGCTTTACTTCCACCCTTTTGCTTCTTCATAGCAGATGAGAAGTATGAACTGAGATATGTGATGTTTATGTATCTACACACCACGGGCATTACACTTCCTTTGCTCCAGCTGAATTCTGCTCAGTCTGAATGACTGCTGTGTAGAGATGAGATGATTCTTAACCAAAAAACATAAAAAAAACATATTGAATATTTGGAAATTTGAAGAAACTGAGCGCATTTCGAGTGTGTGTGTTAAAAGAAAGGCCATGAGTGTTACTCTATTTAAAGCGGGCGATGGTAAAGAAAGCCAGAGTAACATGGACAGTTCCGTTATAAAGGAACTATAATAATCTGAAAGCAGTTATTTTTTCTACACTATGATTTTTAAAGTTACTATGAAGTCAAACGAAAGGTGGATAGTACAAGTTACACTGGAATATGACATTTGTCAGTTCCTGTAAAATTTCAGTGTAGATGGACAACTTTTCAGTATCTTTTTTGTCACCCTCATTCAATTATCAGCTGTACACCAGAATGAAATGCAAAGAGGTATTTTTTTTGTATTTATAGAACTATATTCTGACTGGTGTACATTAATGTAAATGAACCTTTGGGAGATATTGTTGGACAGAAAACACTTCAAAATTTAAGACAATTAACAAGCAGAGGGTATGTGTGTGTGTGAGTCTCAAGGAACTGTTCCCTGGCAGTGGGTCTGTCTATACCACACAACTATAATTCTACCATGGGCTCAACTACCTCACAGGCAGCAGGCATGGTGGCAATAACAGATGGTACTAGAAAGATCTACACATCAGTATTGATACTGCACACTGCTGAGTACAGGAGAAATATTCATGCAGGAACACAGTTTGAACATATTTTACCTCTGGGACACCCAGAAATCAGACTGCATCTTATATACTGGTGCGACTTGTATTCTGGGTTTTTCCATCTGACAGCTCAAGTACACTTGTCATCGAGACTGATCAGGTCAGATATTAGTAAAGAACACAATTTGTTCTTGGATACATGGGACCTAAAGCACCAAACATCCCCCTGAATTGTTGTATAATTCTGACACGGAAAAACCCGAGTAAAAACTGCTCTTCTTTTTTTCAGCACTTTTTGAAAACTCTGCTCTGATTGGTCATTTTCAGCATTCTGTGGTTTGTAATGTAAATAACAGACTGTGAAAGAGTGCCCATGGCAAATCAGTCAAAGTGGACAGCGTATCAATGCAATAGTCCCTGCTTTAGATTGATCCAATTATTTTAAATGTAGAATCTCGAGTCGAATCATTTTCATCTTTGGTTAGAAATCATCTCGTACGGAGGATAAAAACCCACATATGATTTTTTTTTCTGTTGCAATGAATAGTGTGTATATGTCATAGTGCTGTACCTCATTGCGTTATTCACTGGCTCAGTTTCATAAGAAAAAACAGTATAAATCATAAAGATTATTTCCTCATAGTAGTGCTGATTCCTCTATTTTCTTCTCTGGATATTATCCCTAAAATTGATAATCTTGTTGAATGTCTGTCATGCGTGAGTAATACGAGTTTTGAGGGAGTCTGTTTGCAGTGTGGTGTTGCAATGCAGGACTGGAGGCAGTGGCATGTGGATGAGTAGATGAGCGGTCTGTCCGTGATGGCGGCCTTGGAGAGGTAGCTTTTATAAACGGCATTGGGTGGCTGGAATATTGGCTACAAGCTTCAAGATGAGATTTCAGCCCCCACCCACCAGCGCCGGTAACGGTGCAGGTGATGGATTACTCTACCTTCCAGGTTTGAGCTTGGCAACGCCCCAATATTCCTGCAGAATAAAGTGACAGGCAATATATAACACATCAGTTAAGGCTGACTGCACCGCTGAAACTTCTCCCCCCTCCTCTTCTTCAGACTTGGTGATCGGCCCTGAGTGTTTGGCTAGCTCCCTAAATCTTCCTTTACCTTGAAACAGATGAAACATTTCTTATTCAGCACTCTTCTTCTACGCAGCTCCTGTTTTTTCCTACAGTTAAAAAAAAAAAACTCGCAGTTTGTGTCGTTTTCCTACATATTGTCAAAATTTCTCTGAAATGATTCCAGTGACTGCTATCCTAAGGTTTAGAGTTAAGTCTTGTAAAGTTTGCTCGGGGTTGCACATAAATTCCACTTTCACTCTTGACATTAACTAAAAAGTGTTTGTAATGATCTTTAATCCAATAAAAAATAAAAATAAAAACATCCCATACGACTAAAGCAGTGTCCACTGCAGAATGCATGTAAAGAGAGACACTTGACATTGTTTTTCCTGTTATTTATATATATGAATATATATTTCATTCGCTGCCTGTCAGGGCTGCATCCACAGGATTGGGACTATGAAAAGTGGCCTGGTTCCCTGGTCTGTAAGTTAATAAATTATGAGTTTTGTCAGGGTAATGCACAGGCCATGTGTTATAATGAGCATTCTGAAACACATCAGCAACACTCCCACAGGCTTCTGTTCAACCTGCCCACTACCACTGCCTCTCCCAGCATGCAATTCCTCCCTCTCTATCTCCCTACTATTTATCTGTCTCTGCCCAGCTTCTATCTGCTCCATCTCTACTCTGATTTTCCTGCCACTACGCATTTTTCCAGGAAACTGTCTCATCTTTAACACTTTTTACCTCAGAGACTTTTGAGCATTCTTCGACAGAGAAACAGAGGGCACAGAGAGCCAGTGTAGTTGGCGGAAAAATTCCACCAGTAATTATGGTAAATTAAAAGTTTTATGATGTTGTGCATGCCTGTGTGTGTGTGCCTGGAATATGTGTGTGTGTAGTGGTAGTGGTGGGGGGTGGAGGGGTGGGGGGCATCTGTGACAAGGCTGGCTGGGAGCACAGAGCTGAGGGTGAGTGCCAGACATGTCTCAAGAGAAACCGGGGCACATTTGCAATCACCCCGAGTTCAAAAGGGTAATTTATTCACAGTCTGTGGTTAAAGCGGGGCTGCTCAGAATGCCAGTGGGATTGTGCCGGGAAGCAGAGTAGTAGAGACACATTATTTTCAGTTTTTTCTCTCTCCTCCTCTTGTTTTCCTTCCCTCGCTCTCTCTCTCTTTTTCCCTCTCTTGCCTTTTACCCTCTTCATCGCCTGTTGTTGTTTCTGTGAGCCCTGTGCGGCATCTTTTAACACACGCCGGCGAGCATATTTCACTTTTACACTCATCCGCATTGACGTCCCGGTGCTGATTGAATTTTGAGGCGCTGCGGCGTCTGCCATTATCATCCTCATCGTCTTGAGTGGTTTATCTCTGGCCTCAGCTCGGTGTGACGCCAAGGCTGCAGGGGGAGAGGAGGGGCAGGGGTGGGCTGGGGTTTGCAGACCAGGTTGTTTTGGTTTTTACGATTTCTTTGGAAGAAAATAGGGAGGTTTGGTCCTAACCTGGATGTCTGAGATAGCTTTGTGGAGGTTTTTGTGTGCGCATGCATGTGCCCCTGCAGAAATCTTTACAAAAAAAACTATTTTAAGCATGCCAATGTCTGCTTTTAGCTAGCAATGTCTCTCCACAGCATCGTCTCAATCAGCTGACGACGTGGCTCCAGCATTAACTGCACCTGCCAGGTTCAGTTAGGATCAAAGGGTGTCATGGCTGCCCAGAGACCTCACACCGCCTCGCCAGAATCTGCAGAGAATTATTCCACCACATGTCACTTTTACTGTGTCGTTATCACCCAAAGCCACGGGCAGACACTTAGAAAACACTGCCTGCTGTGGTGGTGTGGTGGGGTTAATTTGAGGTCTGGAGGAAAATCTCTTTCCCCTCCTTTCCGTCGGTTCAATAATCGGTGGTGTGCATTCATTGCCAGAGCGGGAAATTGTCTCTCCTTGTGTGTGTCGTTGTAGCCAGGTTGTTATGCATGCTCTGCTGCAGAGGCTGCCGTGTTGATGTGAGGCTGAGCTGCTGCCACAGCGTCTTGATTTGAGGTGAAACCTTGGTGTAACACTATCAACCCTTTACCGTCTCCCCTCCTCCCTCTCTCCTTGTTTTCCTCCTTCCTTCATCCCTCTTTGTCTCGCTGCTCTCCCTCTTGTTACTTTTTTCTCCTGTTTTTTCTCCCTCACCCTCCCCTGGTGGTTGATGGAGTGATTTTGTAGTTGCATGCAGGTGGGGGAGCAGACAACGCAGAGCTGTGCTAATTGAGCCTTCTTTGTGCCTGGTCACTGCAGTGTGCCGAGGCGAGCAGGCCCGGGAGTGAATCCAAGCAGCACTCAAGAGCCCCGCTGGATCGATAACGCAGGAACTTAACAAAACAGAGACATGCCGAGTGCCCAGATCAGGGTCATTATTGTCTCTGGCGAGCCGCACTTCCACCAGGGACTGATCAATGTGAGAATATGGATCAAGATAAACATTCTCACTTCCTGTTTGCCTCAGATCTCAGAGCTTCACGTTCTTGACAGAAAGCTGCACAGCTTTGGGCTGATAGTCGCTGCAACAACCACTTTTGTTGCACCGTATGCAATGCTGATTTACACATCAAATTTATAACATTAAACTTAAGCGTACACATCTCTACTGTGCTGCATTTTTGTGTCTCATTAGGGAGAATAATGTACAAACAATCTTTTTGAGGAACATGTAAATCAAGATTAACAATCTTGCTTCAAGACTCTGGTCAAATGTGGAGTAGCTTCTTGTATTTGTGTTTTTACATCAATTTCTGTTACCAAAAATGTCGATAGCAACACCCAATAGGGATGTAAATCACTAGCTTCTACGTGGTACGATATGGTATTGATTCTCAGAACAACAACTCAATATTTGCTGATATCACAAATCTGGCCATGATTCGATTTCGATTCGATTTGATTTAGAGGCCTGTGATCGATATCACACGATGTTGTGAACCATTTTACCACAATCTGGTACTTTTTATATAAAGGGGGAAAAAACACATTGTTGATATGTTTCAAAAGGCCTTCACATGAAAAACGTTCTTCAACAAAGTGAGCGAATGCTTGTGTTTCACTTTAAAGCGCTTCAGTTTTCAGTTTTAAATGCACAGTATTGATCCAGCATTCGTCATTAAGGGTCTCTGGTAACATCTCTGAGCAGTCAAATTTGCTGCGTTTCCTACATACTTGTTACAGCATTGTGTGCATATCACATGGGCTCTGTCTTCTGATCCGTCCGAAATACTTCCACACCACTGATTTATTCCCAAGAGGCGAGTGAATGTCTTTATTATCTCTTTCTCCGCTGCTAGCCATTACCTGTTATCCGCACTTTCCAGTGCTGTTACTCGTGGATGGGCAGAAACTGTCATAACCAACCACTTTCAAAATGAAGGCGTAAGGTTAAAATAGCCATGGATATCGATGTTTATACTTTGAATTGATTTTACCGAATCATTGCTCAAACAATTAATATATCGATCCCGAATGATGAATCGTTACACCGCTAACATCCCGTCAGACTCTTGATCATCAAGCTAAAGCCGTAGAAAGATACCAATTCATCAGGGCGATTAACGGCAATTTTTGGTGATAAACATAAAAATATTTTGTTGTTTTGCATTTGATGCTGCTTTGTTTTTTTTAACTCATTAGGGCCCATAAAGGTTGAGAGATCACCTTTAAAACGTTACAAAACGTAAAATAAGTTAGCACCTGTAGGTTGTTGTAACGTACCTCACAACTATTAAGCTAGTAACCATGCGTATGTGATATAAGACATCCATACTAACATCGATTTTCATGCACTTTTTTGTTTTGGTGTTGGTAGATTCATTTTATTTTAAATTCAAGGAAACGGAGTAAAATTAGGCAACAAAACACATTCCCTCCGGATATTCAGAGTCGCTGCTCTTTACAACTCATCTATGGTCAGATCTGGTTTTGCCCCTTTGTTTCATGACACTCAACCGTACTTTCATATTTTCCTGTTCTCTTTAAAGCAGATATGACTTTAATGATGGTTGAAATATTTCTTTCATCCAAATTGCTTTAAAGCACGATTTTAAAAAAAAGTTAATGGTGCTGTGGTGACATAACAAGTGGGCAGGCGTCATCTCATTGTAATTAATCAAAAAAAAAAAAAAAGCAAACAGCAGATCTGTGAGAGCATGTTGACCCTTCAAAACATGACAGTGTTTCATTTCATCCAAGACTTGAAATTGGTGATGATGGTATCCTGCTGCTCTCATTGCCTCCATTATTCACTTGGAAGGATAATAGTAATTGCTTAATGTGCTGTGAAAAATGGTAAATGGTTGCTCGACATAGAAAGAATGTGGGTCCAAAGCTTGAGTGAGAACGGGCGGGGAACCTGTTGAAAAACTGAGGTGAGGATTAGAAAGAATGTTTGAACTTTATTGATGATTTTGGCTCATTTTACTGTTTTATCTAAATGATTGGACAATATAAAACATTAGAAGTCATGTGGCTTTTGGTCCAACAGGGTTTTTATTTGTGAGAAATGAATTAAGTTTAGTGAACGCAGATACTGATTAACCATAGCACATAATTCGACAGTGAGTTCTTTATTTTTCCTGTTGGTTTTATGGTTGTGTGTTTGGTACATGATTAAATAAAAGCTATTCTTTCTGTAATCTCAGACCTAAATGTGTCGTTTATAGCTTACCGAGTATGCTTTTATTTACAACCAATGGATTCTAGATTGTCAAAAAAAAATACATTATGTCCGGAATAAATTTGATAACGTTGCCGTGGTTTTTAAATTTTCGGTATTAAAATTATGGAAAAGGTGCGTTAAATTGAGCCCACTCTAATTAAAATAAAACAAGTTCCACCATTCACAGCACTTGTAGTTTTTTCCTCTTTTTTAGATTTTTTGGGTTTTTTTTGTCATTGTTGCTAAGACAAGCTGAGATAGACCAGGATCTCTTCCCTCAAAATTATCTACCTGAAGTTTACCTGTCAGATGAGGAAGGTGGTGGATTTGGGTAGATGAGTCTCGGGAGGCTGAACATAAAATGAAGTGTAATGTGTAAACTTTACAGCATGATTGGGACCCAGCAACCCAGTCTGATGTTGTAATGAAACTTTTTACATTTATATCAATGCTATTTGCAAACAGATGGCTGTGCAGACATCTAGGATGTGATCACCTTCCATCCTGGATGTTTTTATCAATCAAGTCACGTGTCACTCTTCTGGGTTCACGTGATATAGAAGACCCCCGCCCTCCAGCTTGTTGCAGACTTCCCCGAACATTTCCTGCTGTGTTCACGCTTCAGTTCAACCTAACCTCATGCAGAAGTTTTAATAGAGGTCTAGTGGTTGAAAGTTTGCGTAATATTTTGCGTAGTTTGTGTCCACTCTGATAATTTCTGGAATTTTGCAGTAGCTCTGTGCATGTGTGAATTTCTTTTGAAAATGTTGCAGGCTAATTTTCTGCCAATCAACTATTCAACCAGTTGCTGTTGTTCTTTAGTCAGTTTTTCATGCTGCAAATGGTCACCCATTTCTTGGCAAAATGATCACATGCTTTCTTCAGTCCTTTAATTACAAAAAGGGGATGAGTGTGTTTGAAATCACTGTCCACCACACTTCCAGGGCAGCAACACTGCACACTCTACATAACGTTTACATACGGTCCATAAGCCGAAGTGTAGGAGCCCGTCTGCTGCTGAAATACTCATCAGCATGCCTTTAAAGCGCCACTGATGACACTTGGTATTAAAATGTCAAATTACCCTCCACTCACACCAAAGTGATTTTAGTTGTGATTATGCACTATTTCCCTCCTGTCAACAGCAGAAGAAAAAAAAAAATCAAAAAATGTGCTAATTGGTCATGGGAATGGTGGGAGACTTCAGTATTTTATGTCTTTGACTTCCAAATGAGTTTGGGAAAGAGGAGGCTGTCACTCTGGCACTGAGGTTTTTGGGGAGGAGGAGTAGTAGTGGGAGGAGGAGGAGAAGGAGGAGGAGGAGGAGGAGGAGGAGGAGGGGCGGCTGCTGGCACAGGCTCAAATTGAAATGATGCACTGTTCCCCCTCACTGCAGCTAGAGCTCACAGTAATTAAATGCCTCATTGTTGCTTCTTGGGAATTTGTATTGAATATTTCATCCAGCGTAATGATTATTTGGGTGTGGGTGGGACGTGAATGTAATCACCTTGGCTGGCTCTTTGATGAAATACTTGGTTTGGCGGTTGTGCTTTATTGCCATTTTAAGTGCCCTTCTGGGTTTTTACTTTACTTAATGTCCATGTTTTATTCCTCTCTGCTGTCATCCAGCTCTGGTCATGGTTTCATTAATAATTTCCTTCAAAATCTTTGAATAAATTTAGTGTTTTCTCTTTAATACTGACGTCAACTAATAATGTCAACCCAAAACCTTTGAACTCAAACTTCTCCTTCACATTTTGTCTCCTGCAGAGGACGCCGGTCAACAACGGGGAAGCTTTCAGGTGGTTCTTTTAGAGAGACGAGCCATGGCCGCCCCATCCAGCAGCAGCAGCAGCAGCAGCAGCAGCAGCAGCAGGAGGAGGGCAGGTGGGACTCTTGACTCTCTGCGAGAGAGTCTCGATGGGTTCACAGAACTCAGTGCGCCCAAAACATTTGTGGAGGATGAGAAAAGAAAAGCAGATGGACAAAAAGAGAAATGAAACATAACGGTGTTGTTTTAACTCTGTAACTTCCTTTTCTGTGTAATTATTGTACCTTTTGACAGTATCATAATGTATATTTTTGGTGTCTATGAATGTGTTTTCAGTGTTGTGGCTGTAGGTTTACAGCCAATCCTCTGTAAAGGACTCTAACAGACAATCATACCAATTTCACCGAATCCGTCAAAGAGAAGAGGCCACAAGGATTGACGACATTACAAACACAACACACTTTCCCCTTGAGCAATAACCTATTCTGTTCATCACACTTAATCCTTTTATTTCTGTTTACTCTCGAATAGTTTGATCATTTTCTGGATTTTTGATTTCTGTTCCAGTTTAAAACTTTGTTCCAAAACACCCTGCTAATGTCGAGACCGGAGCCGAAGTGGACCTGCCATGTTTCTGTGGCAGACATGTCAACATGTTTCTCCAACTCAGTGGACTCACAGCCAAACAGGGCACATTGTCTTGTGTGGTGAGTCGCACTTCTGCTAAAACCAAACTGGGTGTCTTTTTATCATGACAGCAGCGGAGGTTTACGAGTCCGATTTCTCTCTGGAGGTCATAATCCAAAAGATTTTTCAAGTTAGTGTTGTCAGTTCAAAACTTTGGTCATCAAACCTTCACATCTGTTTTTCAGTTTTCTTTCTTTCAATTGAAATTTCTAAAGGCTGTAACTGTCTAAAAGGTAGAGAGTAATGCCAGTAAAGGAAATGTATGTTATGTTGAAAACTGTCAAATTAAAACTTGATTACAACACACCAAACTATTCGACATATCAGATGTTGTTCTGGAGCTAAAGGATAGTCTGGACTTGAACAGCAGTGCTGTCTCCTAAAAAGAAACACATTCCAAAACAAAATTATTCAATAAGTTACTCATTGTCTTAAACCCTATTGTTGCATGTGTAAATGTGTTTTGGTTTTCAAAGATTACTAAGAATTTGTATATTGTTGTTGTGATGCTTTTATGTGTTGAAATAAAAAAAAATGACTTCAGTAAAAGACACGTCTCGACGGTAAATGTCTGATGAGAGGACGGGAAAATTAGCCACTAAGAAAAAGAAGGAAAAAGAAGGTTGATCATTTATGATCACCTGATAATAGAGTACTTCTCTTCTTTTTTTTTTTTCTTCTTGCTGCGAAACATCAACAGAAATAACATCCAGGAGGAGACGGGATGAATATAACAGCACTGGTTGCCTCCCCAGTCACGTATCCCCTTGAATACTAAAATGTTGCACGGAGAAGAGTGGTTCCCAGAGGCAGCAGACTTTAAAGGACTAGTGAAATCCCATGTGGTTTGTCATGCTGGAATGCACTTGGGGTACAGGAGGGAAAGCAAGACAAGGAAGGATGGTGGATTTTGGGGAGTGGGGGGCTGGGACCAGACAGGCTCCTGAGATAGGCTGAGATAGGCTGAGCTGAACTGAGCGATTGCCGGTCTCTGGGTTTCACGGGTAGAGCAGGGTTGGGGGAGTAGTTATGGAGGGAAATAGAGGACAGAGGAGGCACATTTGGGTGGTAGCTGAGGTGGGGTGGGGAGTAGGGGGGGTGATGCTGAGGAGAACGAGCTGAGAAGGAGGAAATCATCCGGGACCGACTTCTCCCCTCACTGAGCACACTTGCCATCACCCAAATTGAGCTGCTGACTGGTTAGGGCCAGCCGGAAAGACAACTCAGAGTGCTCGGTAGTGGCGGCGTTAGCTGCTATGTGGCATCTGAGACGCCCAATCCCCCCCTCGCTGGTCATCAGAGGTTGATAACGTGCATCAGGGTGCTCTGCTCGCTCACTCCCTGGCCAGTGAGATTAAATAACATCAGAGACAGCTCTCTCTAATCCCCCTTCCACCGCCCACTCCCGGCTCTGGAACTGGGATTTAAAGTCCTCAGGCCCTGATGGTAATGTTCAGTTTTCTGCTTCAGAGAGGCACAGACAGAGGCTGAGGATGTTGTAGAGCCATATAAGCAAGATACCAGGATGGTGAAGATATACATATATGATATATAGACGGCATATTTATATGAATCTTAAGGTTCAAGGTTGAAGCAAACTTAGTTTTACGGGCATTTACTGTAAGAATCAGTAAATATTAGGGATTATTTATTTAATGGACTTTTGAGGAGAGTAGCTCACAATTTTGGTGAAGTGCTCCTGTTTACTATTTCCCTGAGGCCAGACATACACTGTCCAAACCATAGACTCTATCTACAATGGACAACTTGGTTCCACCTTCTGCCAATTTACGAATTTGAAGCCGAAAAGCTCTTGGTAATTCGCATTTTTTTCTGCGCAGTACCATTGTACGCATTTGACAGGAGAGTCGTCGGGAGAGTTGATGTGATGACGCTCGGCTCAAACAGCGTATCTCCTTGGTGAGCTACACAATCTTCGTACGCCCATAGGCTGTATCAGGTGTCAATTATAGAAAACACGAACCCCCTAATAACTTTTAAAAATTGAGCTGTACAGAAAAAAAAGGACTTGAGCACAAACCAGTTTTACAATAACTACATGTCAACATCGCAACCAGGGGGGAGAAAATTTTATATTCTGTGTAATTAATTTCAAAAGTTTGTCCACAGCTCCATAGGGATTGCTGGAGGAGGTGGGATTTATGACCTGTACTGCAGCCCGTCACCAGAGGGTGCTGTTCTCGGAGTGGCTTCACCCAGCGAGGAGGCAGACGGCGTCCATTCTATATACAGTCTATGGTCAGGCTGAATTACACCTTGATTGCATGCTGTTTCTAGAGCTGTTTACACCAGGGTACAAGAACTGATAAAGGCTCGATCTGCCACTTCGGACCAGTCAGATGAATTCCTGGCATGTCAGAAATTTAGGACAACCGACCACACAGTCTCCCAGTAAAACCAGAGCAACCAGCCCTGAAGCCAAACTTCAGGGTTTTTTTCCCCTCATGGCACCTGTGTGAAGTGACAGAGAGCATATGAAAGCCCACATGAAAGCCAACATCATGCACAAATGTAAGTGAAAAATGGGGCCTGAGTAGCGTATCATGGATGGAACTTTAGCCTGAATGCTTGCTCCAAAGTCGTCCTACCAAACCCTCCTGTGATGCCACTCTAACAAGGTTTCTTTTATATTTCTATAAGCTGAAAAAAAAAATTACCAAAACCAGCCGTTCAACCTTTTGGAAGGGCTTTAAAAAGTGAAAACTGCGAGTTGAGATTGTTTGATGTCATTCTTTATCATATCATGCCAGTTATTAATTACATCTGCATGGCATCACATCAATGCAATATGTGTCACATTACTGTAATCTAAAACTGCACACTCACAGGCTGGTTTCCCCCATCACAACAAAAAAACCCAGCACCTCATAGTCCCCTCTTTCCAGATCCTTTCTACAAATCTAAGGATGGCTTAATATCAGCTGTCAGTTGAATAAACCCCAAAATAAATCCAGGTCTATGTGATGTCAGTCATGCCACCGGGTGCCAGAGGTTAGTGGGCCAATCAGATGGGCTTACCCTCTCTGTGTCCTCCACAGGAATGCAGAGTCTCTGTGATAATCCCTTTAGGGATTCTGACTGAAAATGCTCCCTCACTCTACTGGCATACTTCTGACTGAGCAGGGCAAAAACCGTCACATCTTCCTGCATGGAGGCACGTAGAAAGGGCATGTACTTCTGGCAAATAAAATACCAGGAATATTGAAAAACATCTTATAATAATGATGTGTTTACATTGACACTATCACGTAAATTACATTACACTCTTACATCACCCAAGGATATTGTTTAGTGTGTTATTTAGTCATGTATTTATCTTCTCCCTAATGTTTCCATAGGTGTATGCACCTGTACACAGATGTGATGCCTTAAGCGTCTGACTCCTCTCCCGCATGTCCGTCCTTGCTCTCTTCCCCTGTTTTCAGCTCTGTCGACTGTCCTGTCCCAAAGTAGATCTTAAAAGTAAAACAATGCAATATTGATAATGTGCTAAAAATAAGCATACAGTAATACAGTGTAACTACCTGGTTTATAGTAAGGGGTTGGCAGTGGTTCTTCAGACCATCGCCGCCATAATACTGAGGAAAAATAGCTTTTTGTAAATGTATGGCTTCTACTGTAGAGAAATCATGAGGTCAGGATAACAGATAAAAGCGAGCTCTACCTGTACCCAAATAAAAAAAGGTTCCTCCCGAGTTTTAGAGTTTTTCTTCCTTGGATATCGTCATATGTGCAAAAGTAGAGTTTTCATTTGATGAGAAGTTTCTGTCATGGTGCTGGTGACGCAAATAAATTGGAAATTTGAACTTAATTTAAAATGGATAGACTTTCAATCAATCAATCTTTAGTCATAAAGTTCATTCATAACAGTAAATTTGTGTATCTTGTCAAATATAGAGTGAAAATACAGCAATGCAATAACAGTGTTGGTAAAGGCCATTGGTCGCCCTGCTCTCTCACAATCGCCATTGAAAACATGATGTTGGTAACTGTTCTCACTGTTTTCAGCATCTTAAATAGTCAGCTGACAACAAAACCAAAACCATTTCACTTAAGTAATTACATAATTTGTCAGAGATTACCTTTTGAGGGATTGGATCGTGGCAGCCTCAAATGTAAGCTCATGTTTTTTTGTGGGATAGAAAACCAGTGAATTGCTTCACTTTTTTTGTCCTATTTTTAAGGCAAATATTGAAAACACAACAATAATTTGTCCCATTTCACATCATCAATCCAGGAGGGTTTAATTACTCAATCCAGAACATGAGACAACCTTATTTTTTGGGAGGGAAGGAAATCCTGTCTTATGTCAAGGTTAAGTATCTTATTGCAAATATTTAATCATTTTTACCTCCTCTCAATTCAGTTCTATGAGAATCTTTTTGTTTTCCCATCTCCGCCAGTATTTTTGGTTCATATATAGTACATATTCTTACACATAACACTTTCCCACACTGAGTCAGTGGCACACACAGAGGACAGAGAATGAGACAGAGAGAGAACGACACATACAGCCTCCCTCCCCTCCTCCCTACCTCGTCTTTCATTATTTATTTACTGTCTGCAGTTTTTCCATTGCACGCATATTGATGCGGAGAAAGCAGGGTGTGAGTGCGTGTCAGAATCATTTCCTGACGAGGGAGACAAGGTGGAAGTAATCAGCAGAGCGCTGATGCAATATGACAGCCCCTAGAACCGCTGGTACACAGTTAAGAGCAGGAGGGAGAGGAAAAACATCTCCCCACTGAAGGAAGTGGGAAGATTTGCACAAGCGACATTTGGGTGAAAAGTAGATTTACAAAGTTCTAAAAGTTTCGGAGATGCAAAGTCTGTTTCTGGCGCTGTTTTGTTCTCTTAAATTTCTTCTCAAGCAAGCTGGAAATATATATCAAGTAGGTATCTTGTGTCAATTTTTAAAAATTACGTAACACTATGAGGTCATTCACCACACTGCAGAAGCTTCAAAGTTGTTCAGAAAATGCTAAATAAATCACATAAAGACATCTTTTCTTTTTTTTTTTTTTATAAGAACCATAAATCATGTTACACGTATATTATTTTCCTCAGATTTTATGCTACAAGGAGCTCAAATGCTGTCATAATATGTGACTGCTGTGCTCCAAGCTGTAAAAATAGCTGTAAAAATATTGGGAATCTGACAAATTCTTTTTATGTCACTGCTTCCTGACTGATCTGCAACCTAAGAGAAAATAGCTCTTAAAAGCTCTAAGGCTAAGGACAAACATCAGCTTATGTTAGCATTTAGCTGTTTACTAAACAATCAAACTGTGGAAAGCCAATATGACAGTTTGATATTGTTAGTACCTCAGGATAGACATATGTAGGGCTGCGTGATAAATCGGGTAATTTGTGATTTTGTAAGACTTGAAACATGAGAATCGAGATTTTCTCTAAACTTCCTCCTCTTTCCTCCCAACCCGTGGGCTCCCAATGTTCACTTCTAACAGAGACGAACACACAACAACATCCATCACGACTGTTAGGCTTTCCCGTCACCTTCAGTCATTTAGGACTAGTTTGGGTTTGTGGTGTCAGTGTAGGAACTTAGCTGTAGCCTCTGAAAATGAGAGCCGGACATCACATCGCCATCTACTTCACTTTACTTGAACACATGAGGCGTTACATTTACAATTCTACAATGAACTCAGACTGTGTCTCGCGTACATCTCTGTTACGATCTCAGGTATACTGTCTGAACTAGGGCTGGGCGATACGGCCTTTAAATCAATATCACGATATATTGAGCAGTTCACCTCGATAATGATAAATAAACGATAACTACTCCACAGACTGATCACCCCCTCCCGCTCCAGCTGCTACAACTTTTGAACCGTCCTCCATCTCCTCACCTGTCTTTCCCTCTTTGTTACGACTTTCGGTTTATTTCCCAGCCCTAGTCTGAACCTTTGACGACACCTCTTTACAGCTGTTAAAACTGCAGCCAAAATCTTAACAGCCACATACTGCCACCTTGTGGTTCATCTTATTAACTGTTCAGAACTATGCTACATGCAGCAAGCTTACTGTTACAATCGTCTTTTTCCTTCCAATCACATGTGGACAATGTGAACTCAGGAAGAGTGTGGGTAGTTTGGACCATGAAGTTGACATCTCATTAAAATTCTGTAGTCTAAACCTGGTACCATCTGTTAACATCATAATGGTAATAATGACCTATACTGCAGTCGGTCAGCGGGGGGAGCTCTAACTATTTTGGCTTTACTGTCAATAAACAGTTGTGGCGTTTTACTTCAATACAAAGTCTACGACCTGTATTACAACGATTCAGCATTTGAGCGTTCCGGTCTGCGTCACTATGCTGTGCGAAAATGGCAAAATGTCCAGATTTTGTTTCAACAACAGAAACTCCCCATGGTCAAATATTTATGGTATTGAGACGTTTGGCCCATATTTGTAAGCTTGTGCAGAAATACAGTTAAGTGAATGCAAAAGAAAAGCAAATAGTTTTTTATGTAGAAATGTAATTTTGTTATCATGTCTCTTTCAGTGTTTGGCTTGTGTAGCATAAAAAGCAACACTTCAGGGTGAGCAGAGAAGCCAGCGAGGCACCCAGCTGACATGATCTTTCTCCACTAATCTTGTCTGACTGTTTCCCCCCACTCCCTCTCTCCCAGGCAGGTGCAGATTGATTAGTTATCCTGCAGACATCACCGAGTGCAGTGAGACAGCCAAGCACGCCAGCTCTTTCCCCCCCGACTTCTCCCCATATAGCACACCTGTACGTATCTCCCTCACACATCTCTACATCTCTATCTCATACATTTGTATCTCTCCTCTGTCATCACCTTTCTCTGTCTCTCACATACGGACAAACACCCTCACCCCTTAGACGAACACACACACACACCTATACACACATAACGTATACTCAGACATATACACGGACACCATCTGCCCATCCTGACAAGCACAACCTTTCTGGGCACAGTAATTGATGAATGTGAAAGACGGAGCATTTAGGGTCTTCCCACTTTTCCTTTTCCACCTGCTGACCTGGGAGAGCGAATGGCTAATCTCCATACTAAATCATACACCCTCGCACATACAGCAGCGCATTTGAACACATACAGAGAGGTGTAAGCATGCTGATTGATTGATTGGGCCGGTGGGGTTCATGACAGCTGGCAACATTTCTCCACTTCATGTCAACGCCCCGGGCAGCAGGAGTCTCAGAGCGATCTCTGAGGGACTGAGTAATCACAGTCAGCGGGGCAGGATTCCCAAACGGAGCCCATGTAACAGACCGAGCAGATTTTACAAAACTTTTTCACCAACTAGCAAATTTCAAAGCACAATGGCAGAAGTTAGTCTGGACGAATGCGTTAAGAAAACCTGTACATCTCTGTAATTGTATGTGGTTTTAAGGAGTTGGATGTTGCGTTCACACCAAGTGCAAATAAACTCATCTAATCCCTTGATTTATACGTATATGGGGGTTCCTACAAGTCAGGTCAGTCTGTTTACATCAAATATTGCAGGGGTTGACCACATTGTGAGGACCTGTTGAGTTTGAACAACTTTCCAGATATTCAGACTTCTTCACTCTCTTTTCTCCAGCTGAGCTCTTTTTTTTATTTC